ATTTACGATTTCAAATGTATGTGGTATAAGTATGTTGGAATGCGACCCTGACACAATGAGACCCTGAACACAATGCGACCCTGACACTTAACGAAAACTGAACCAACGCCGAAAGGAATAACGGGACTAACGGACCGACAAAAATACCGTACTGGACAGTTTAGCACAAATCACCGGACCGATTAGACGCGTTTCGCAACTATACTAGTATAAGTCTCAGAATATGTACTAATTAAACTAAATGAACTTTAAATTACATATAAGTTTGAGTTCGAATTAATAAACATTTAAAATGAAACGTAATCAAAGTGTTTTAAAACCACAAATTGGGGGCTCAGCCGGAATGTGACGCTCCTTTAGTGCTGATTGCGAAAGCCGCTGGCAAAATGTTTTATGAACTTTAAAGAAAAGAGCTTAACAAAAAGTGATGTCCGTGCGTAAAGAGTTTGTTGTGCGGTAATTGCCTTTACGTTAAAAAAAACTGTAAAGAACAAAAATTGCCGTTCAAAGGTGCGCCAAAAAGCACAGGCACCCGCAGTAACAAAAGTGCGCGCAGTAGCAGAGGCGTGCGGAAAAGCAAAGGTGCGCGAAAAAGCATAGGCACCCGCGGTAGCAGAAGTGCGCGCAGTAGCAGAGGAGTGCGAAAAGCAAAGGCGCCAGTAGTTACAGAGGTGCGCGTAGCAGTTGAAGTGCGCGCAATAGTATCAGAGGTGCGCGCAGTAGTAGCAGTTTGCCCAAACGCGGAAGCGTACGTATCAACACAATCGTCGGCAGGATTTCATAAATGAACTCCAGTGGTAGCAGAACAAAATTTATTTGGAATCATCAGCAGATCAGAGTGAAGAGTGGAAGAAGAAAGCAGCACTAACAGCAGCTAAGTAGATATGATATTTTGTAGTTCGGTAGTAAGAGAAAAATTTGCAAATGAGTTTAAAATAAAAACTTCCAATCGGTAAATTGTAAAGAAAAGGGAATTAGAATTCAGATAAAATCTAAAAGAAAAGAAGAGAATCTTAATGTGAGCTTGAAGTAAAGAAGCGAAATAAAAGATGTTAATGTAAAGAAGTAGATAAGTAAAACAATAAGTAAAACAAAAGCGTATGTAAAAAAGGGCAAGAAGGAGTGTCGAACAAAAACGTTAATTTAAAAATTTGTGTTGAGACAATATTGAGAGAAGAGGATAACAGACTAAATATGTATGTTAAGAAATTTGAAGGAGACAAATAGTTGCAGCTCAGAATAAAAAATACAGTGAAGGAACTAAAGTTAGAGAAAGCTAGAAGTACATATGTATATGTTTTCTTACAAAGCAATGTACTGAAGAAGTTCTAATCAGAATTCAAATGTAAATGTTGAAAGAACCATTAAACAAAGAATTCGGTAAAAAATTATCAGCTGCCGAAGTCCATAAAATGTTGAAAAGCAGACGGACAAAGTGAAAAGTTCTAAATCGCAAACTTATTCAAAGGCGAACCAACAAGCGTTTGGGATGGGTGGTAAAGCACAGGAAGCTAAGCAAATAAATGATACTGCGTGTTTTAGATGCGGGGTGAAAGGGCATATTGCTAAGAACTGCGACTCGAGAGGTTTCAAATGCTTCAAGTGCAGTCAGGTTGGTCATCGCGCCTTCGAGTGTAAAACAAAAAAGCAAGAAGTGAGTAGAAAGGAAACAACAAAAAAGGAAAAAGATAGTTATCATTTGACTACAGAAAACGAAATATTGACTGACGCAATCAGGTAATCGAATTTTTAAAGAATTTACCATAAACAACGTTACGCTTCCCGCTATAATCGATACAGGTAGTGACATCAGTGCCATTCGTTATGACACGCTCATGATGCTGGACGACATTGAATCAACTAACGAGACACGAAGGTTCACAGGGATTGGGGGTGCGACGATAACTACAATAGGCAGTTTTGAAAGAGAAGTTGAAATTGATGGGAATAACTTACAAATTAAGTTTCATGTTGCAAGAGAAAGGGACATCTTATACAGCGCGGTATTAGAAAACGATATCCTAAAGCTTGTTGACGTTTTCCTAGGGGAAGAAGGCGCTAGGTTCCATCCAAAACGAAATTCGGAACTGTGTAACTCTGGGGGACAGGATACGAAGTGCGAGGTAGTTCCCAATAAAAAGGGTAGGCTAGGTAAGGTTCAGGCGGATGAAAAAGTCAGTCAAAGCATCTGTGAACTAACACAAGAATTTCAACAAATCTGTCTGTCCAACATCGCTAAAATGGAGGATAAAAAGAAGGATCACGATTTAGATCATTTGAGTAGCGAGCTCAAGAGTGAATTAACCCATCTCATTGAAAGTTATAGTCCGAAAAAAATTATGCCTTCTCCCGTGGCAATAAAAATTATTTTGAAAGACGAAACTCCTGTGTACAGTCGCCCGAGAAGACTACCGATTTCGGATCAGGGAATAGTTGACAGGCAGGTGAGAGACTGGTTAAATGAAGGGGTTATCCGCCCTAGTGCATCCGAATATGCGTCACCTATAGTTCTGGCAGCGAAAAAAGATGGTTCTAAGAGACTTTGCTGCGACTATAGGAGGTTGAATGAAAAGGTTATACGGGACAACTTCCCAAAGATTTTCATAGACGACGTCTTACAGAGATTAGAAAAGGCAAAGGTGTTTACGACTCTATATTTAAAAGATGGATTTTTCCACGTACCAGTGGAATCTCAGTCCAAGAAACACACGGCGTTTGTCACGCATAACGGCCAATACGAGTTTAACTTTACACCGTTTGGGACTTCGAATTCGCCAGAGTTTTCTGCAGATTTATTTCTGCCATTTTTCATGAACTTATACAAGAGGGGACGGTAGTCATTTACATAGATGATCTTATGGTCCTATCGAAAGACGAACATGAGGGAATCGAGAAGTTGAAAAAGTAGCCGAATCATATGGAATGAGTGGAGCCTGTGAATTTCCTGGGTTACATTATCGAAAATTCGACAATTAGAGTTTCCAATGAAAAGACAAGG